CTCCCCCCCCCCCCCCTTCTCCCCCCCCCCCCCCCCCTTCTCCCTTTCCCCACAGCAAAACATGTATAAAGAAAATTAAGATGTTTGCAAGAAGGAAGACTATTTTCTCGTTGTTTTCGCCGTGGAAACTTTTTGGAAAGCTCCTGCTTTCATGGTCTTCGTGGTGTTTTTTTTAACTATTTATTTATACGCCCAGGTAATTGACTCAGGGGAATATCATCCTTGTTGTTGATGAAAAATGCGGACTAAAAGAACCTCTGGAAAAAGCTCCGGGACGAACAAGGGGCAAACTTAAAACCGATCAAAAGGTTCCGCTCGCATCCTGGCAACTATTCGAGTCAAGACTTTCGTCTGAGTCCAAATTCGAAAGAAGAAAACTGGAATCCTCGCAATCTGGATTAAAAGCCGAGCTCTGTGAGATTTTCCCATTTTTTCTTTATTTATATTTCCCATCCGAAATTTCCCCATTTTGTGGACATTGTGTGCATTATATCGGGATTCTTCGCCTGTGTTCATTTTTGTTTATTCCTAACGTTAAAATGTTTATTTCCATGTTTGATTTACCGTTACATCTTTCGCGCATGTATTTTATCACCTTCATTTATTTTTGTTTATTTATTATTCTTACCACCTGCCCTCATAATTGGGTTCCAGAGAACGAAAAATGGGAATAGCAATTTACTTGATCGCCAACGTTGAACATTTGAGGGATCGCTTTTTGCATTTAATAAAAAAAAATATTGGCACAAATATGAAAAGCGGCGAGAGAGAAATTCATAAAAAAAAAATACCGCAAAAAAATCAAATTTAATTCATTAACTTCGGCCGGCTGGATCCAACAGCTTTTCGCCTCTTCGGAGATGAAAGTCAATTCAATCGGGTTCAAGTTGGAACTGCGTGAAGGAATTATGGGAATTCACTGGGAATTCATTGGGAATTCATTGGAGTTGTCCGCGATGAAGGCGGATTCGTTCGCTCTGGCGATCATTTCGTCGAATGCGTCCGAAGATTTCTCTCGTGAGACGGCTGCTGTGAACGCATTCCTGGGGGAAATGGCTTCTTTTTTTTTTTTTCGCCGATCTGGTCGACGTTCGGAGGTGGACGGAATCCGAAATTCCAGAGTGAAAAAAGGGGGAAGCCGAATAGCGAAGAAACTTCAGCAACCTGACAAAAATTTAAGAGAAACGGATGAGAAAATCAGCTACTTCTTAGGCCATCGTACTGAAATCGGTGTCGAAATCTCTTTGCAGTAGACGGACGGAGATAAATCGATCAATTTTGTGTGCGTGCAAGCCAACATTTCCCTGCGTCTCAATTCGATGAGCCATATTGGAGGCTGAGTGCAGATCTTCCTTGAATAATGCCCTTTTATTTTCGTGCCCAACCGAAAACTTGTTCCGACATTTTGTTACAGACAGGTCAGCGAGTTAATTCTGAATGAAGTCGGTCTTTCTTTCCTAAGGTGGAAGGGGGACATCAGGTTTTCAATGTCTGGTTTTTTCTCCTTCCTGTCTGAGCAAGAATTCCTCGAGGGGGGAATGCTCACCGCTGCTCATTCCATCGGTAGAGGAGGCTTTCCCTTCCTTATTCATGGAATCAAGTTGGTTTGGTATAATTAGATCTAGACTGAGGAAGACTGTCGGTAATATTCCTGTTTTGCCGTCCCAGCATTTCCGGTCAAGATTCTCATTTGTCCCATCTCTCCGTCTCTTGTTAAACTTGTTTGACCACTCCATCTGTCTTGGTAACTTCATCAGCGTGCAGCTCAGATGAGGAAATGATTAAGTCTGATTTGATCAGATGTGGCCGTGTCACCGCTCCGGCAACCCTGCTAACTATGATGGCGGCTTACATAGGTACATTGTGAGCTCTTCGTGTAGTCGTGGACTCCTTGAAGTGGACGTTTGGGCGAAAGGAATCGCCCTGATATCTGCCGAGCCCAGCGGTGGTGAAACATTCATCCCACCTGAGTTGGTTTCACGGTTCTTCGCTGTGCCAGAGTTCTCCATGCCTCCATCGCTCCTTAGGCCGCTTCCGTGTTGCAGTTGAACTTTTATTCTTGATATATCAAGTCATTGGTGACAGTGTTTTTTGTGGGGGCCTGGCCTAGGCCTAAGGGTAGGCCAAATCCTGGATCTCGAGTCGGCTCCGCAATCAGTCGCTATGGAAGGAGAAATAAGGCATGCATTCACCCTGGGTAACAGCATCATTGGGGTCAGCGTCTTGGCAATGCCTTATTGCTTCAAGGAGGTCAGTTCAGACCTAGAACTAAGGCTTGGATTTATCATTTAGCATGTTTCATAAAGTCTTCAAGTTGCTCTAGGGGTAAAGCCACCAATTTTGTTAAATTTGGTGGGTAGAATGCCTGTATTGGGATTCAATTCTCCACTAGTTATTATTGTGTTGGCTGTATTGATTTTTGGGATTTGGGATGAGTAACTGATTTACTGAATGGCACAATACTATTGTGACATTTCTAGCCATACTAATAGCACAGTATATATTATTGAATGGTAGAAGTGAGTAATTTTAACTGCTTTTATTATATTTTCAAATTCCTTGTTTTCTTACAGGAAGTTGTTGAATCTTGCTGCTGTTACAATGATATTTAATGTTCCATGATTTGAAGCCTACAGAAGAGCTTTCTACCTGATCAGTGGTACAATAATAGGTTTGAGCATAGGGACATAATAGTTGTTCACTTCACAAATAGGGTATATAGGTCATCTTCATCTGTGTATATTTTAGGACTATATTTTATTATATTTTGGGACTTAACTTATTTGGATTATTGTAAACTGCAGCCAAGAAAGCACAGAAACTTCTTAGAAATTTCACATTTTTAAGTTTTATTCCTCTAGCTGGGAAAAATGAAAAATAAAAATAAAGTGGCCATTGAGACCTTTGAATTTATTTGTCACTCCCTGCCTTTTGTCCTTATGACTTACATATGTATTAATATTCAGAATCATTCAGAAACAGGTGGCCAACAATTTATTTGACCAGGAAAATCACAACTGATACATTTTGAGCGTTCCAAAAACAGTCAGTAGTCACTGCAATTAGCAAAGTCAATGTACAGGTCATAATTATTTGAGATACCTGTATTATAAGATGCCTTTATTATTTTGGAGCTAAATGTGTTTGCTTAATATCTCCTGCCATCTGTCATTTTCTTCTCGCAGGAAGAAGCTTCCTTTTTTGTTTCTGCTTTTTATAAATGAACTTTTATTTATTTTTTTTATAGGGGCCTTCTTGCACAGGGTGCTTCAGTTCTTCTTGCTTCAGTTTCTGTAAATTTATTTATTTATTTATTTTTATAGACTAGGACAATCCAAGCTGAGGAAAGATGCAATCCATGATATTATCATCCATGGTAAAACAAGACCCAATATTGGACTCACCTGAATGTTGTGTTCTTTCATTGTCTCTCAAAGAACTTCAAAGGAAACATTTTTTTTTTTTATCCTCAATACCAAATAAGTGTTGACTTTTTTTTTTTCTCTAGGTAATGATCTCTCTAATGTTCGGACTGTGTAGATATATTCATAAATCATGGTTTCTGTCTTTGGGTGCTTAATACTAAGGTGGATCTAATAGGCAGAATCTCTTAAAGAGGAACTAGAAATAATTTGACTGACAGCAGAAAGAAGAGTGAAATTGAAGGGGAAGGTATGGGAAATGCAAGAAGGAAGCAATCATGTAATGGCAAATGGATCATATCTAAATAATGAGAATGAAAAGGTTCATGGAATTGTTTGCAGATGGAAAGCATGTCAGTCAGGAAGGAAAAAAAAGAAGAAGCATCTTGGCCTATGAGGCCCAAATTCTGGAACCTTATTTAGGCAAGATAAAGGGACCTTTAATTTTAAGAGCTCTTTTTTTTCCCAAAAGGAACCCATGTATTCTTTTAGGACTATTAACTAAAGGAGGTTTCAGCATTCCAACCTAAGCCTTTGTTTCATGAGAACTTTGCTTCCACCACATACTTTGCATACAGAGTTGCACATAATCATGTGTCTTCTTTTTTTTAGTCAGCCTGGACTCATACTTGCATGTACTTTAATTTTGGAAGCTCTTTTCCTTTGTGTAAAAGGCATTGCACTCCTTGAAAACTTGCCAAAATGTTGAAGACATTTATTTGGCTTTTGTAGTGTGGGGTTATTCTATCTCTGGTGCTCCTGTTGGCCAGCTATTTGGTAACAAGACTGTCCTGCCACTTTCTGCTCAAGAGTGCACTTGTGGCCAGAAGGAGATCATATGAAGCCTTAGGTGAGATTTTCCTCTTGGCATTCCATTCATCAGTGAATTTTATGTTGTCATTTTTGTAAATACCCAGACAGATATTTCCATTTTTTTTTTCTTTTTCATTTTTCTTTTAGCATTTCACGTGTTTGGTTACGGTGGGAAATTAGCAGTAGAACTGTGCATCATTGGCTTCCTTGCTGGCACTTGTGTGGCATTCTTTGTTGTGCTGGGAGACCTTGGGCCTGCAATTGCAGCACGGACATTTCAAGTGGAAAACACTTCGAATCTCCGGTCATTTGTGATGATCAGCATAGCTGTTACTGTTGTCTTTCCTCTCTCTCTTTTGAGGAATGTTGACAATTTGAATAGTGTCAGTATCCTGTCTTTTGTTTTTTATGGTGTGCTTGTGTTCTGGGTGAGTTCACAATTTTCTGTCCTTGTAACTTTTTAACTAGACTATAAGCAATATCAGACATGTATTCTTCTGCTACAACCTGCATTTTCAGTGCATTTAGTTTCCTGCTGTGAGGGGCACTTATAGCTAGCAGATTTCCTTTGGGTTTATTTTAATGTTTTGAGCATCTAAGTTTGTTTTTGTTGATGCATTGACATTTTGCACCATTTCTTCATGTCATGTTCCAAACTTGCAGACCTTTGGGGCCTCCTTGGGACATATTGTTGCATGGGATTGGCCTCATCTTGTCCTATACTGGCAGCCTTCTGGTATTTTACTCTGTATCCCCATCTTCTCCATGGCTCTTTCATGTCAAACGTAAGTATAAATGCATGTTTCCACAGTTTCATGCATTTGGGTTTCTGAAGATGATCCTTCCTTTTTGTTCCTTAGTCAGATCTTTGAAATATATGCTGCATTACTGGATGCAAACTTGAAGAAGATGAATGTGATTGTGGATCAAGCTGTGACACTGTCATCCTTCATATATATCTCCATGGGTCTCCTGGGCTATATTGCATACTGCAGTCTACCAACCATCCCTGGAAACATCCTGGTGGCCTTTCCATCAACCATCCTGGCAGAATCTGTGAAGCTTTGCTTCCTGATGTCAGTGGCTGTGTCTTTTCCCCTCTGCCTCTTCCCCTGCAGGGCAAGCATTCACTCCCTCTTGTACCCAAGTCACTCAGTGAGTCACTCATGTTCCCTTTAAAACTTGATTCTCTCTAAGCTTGAAATTGCACACTGTGGAAGTGGTTCACCTGAGGTGATGGTGACCCAGCATGGTGGAGCAGGCAAAAAGAAAAAAATGTTCTGTTTCAGGGTTTAGCTCAGAGGATATTACTATTGACCATGAAGTATTACAGACAATATGTAGCAGTACAGTATTGTTCTATGCTTTTCCTTGGTTGAAGTAAGGACAGGCATAGTGATTTTGCAGTCAATCCCTACTTGAAGAGGATCTTTTCTGAGTGGGAGAAATGGTTCTCCAACCTTTGATTTCATCGGATGAAAGAAAAAAAAAAAGATGTGGCAAGTTACCTCATTTTACAATGCATCCTGAGGTTCCTTATGATTTCTAATGTCTTCTTCCAAGCCTTTTGACTTACTAGCTCTGTTGCATGAGGTTGCATGAGGGAAACCGCATGGCCTTCAGATTTTTATTATATCATAGGGACATCCTTTTGGCATATATACTAGTATATATTTTCATTTAAAGTCTGCTGATATCCTCTAACTTCATTATGAAAAGGTATTTAAAAAAAAACTTTTTCTTGCTACACCAGATATTTATAAATGGACAGAAGATTAATCGGAGAAAGTGTAGGAGTTCATTGGGGGAATTTAATTTTTTTTTTTACAGCCTTTTGAGGTGAGCCAGGAATGGCAGTAAGCTTACAATCTTTGGCTTCAGGAAAATTGAAAATAAACCAAAAGGTGCAGTCTGGATTCATAAATAAGCTTGGGTAAAATGGGGGCATTCAAGGTTTACTTTTCTAATAACTGGTACTGAACTCCTTATGTCACAGGCCGTATGCACAAATATTTGTCCTGATATCCTGATTTGTTCATCTGTAGATATCCTTTTGCCAGTGCTTTATGCTTCTTAGTGCTTTATACTGCAAGCTTTAACACAGTTTCTGTGGTTGACCTAGTGGCTGCGTTTCTTGGTCGATGGATATGAAAAACTGATTTTTTTTTGCACCATAATACCCAGCTGACAAAAATGATTAGCCAAAAATCCTTTTTATAGTATGTGAATCAGCTCAACATTAACTATCCCATGAAAATACTTGCCAGAGGGTTTAAGCTTATAAAAATGAAATGATCTGGTGAAAATGAAAAAGTTTCATGCTTTGCTTGAAGCCTTTACAATTTTAGAATTCTGCTTCAATTTCCAGTATGGCCATCATGTCCATTCTTCATTTGTACAAAGTTCATAATTTTCAGTAAAATCAGCCTTATTTGTTTATTATGATCATCTAAAAAATTTGTTCTTATGCTTAAAAAGATGTTATCTTCAGTGTATGTCATGCAAATCACATAGTTCTACATTGGTACCTTGTTGTCATGACTGATGAAGAGGGAAATAATTTGTGATATGTATAATTTGACTTCATGCATGTGCATTGGAAGGGATTTTGGTGATTTGTATAGGTATATACAGTATTTACAGTGTATTTGATGAGAAGTCTGAAAATGGTGACCATATACCTTGTACACCAAGAAATATATCATTATGTACTCTTTCTGGGTAGATGTGTTTGCTCTGCATGGAGAGATGTCTTTAGTTTTAGTTTTTGTAACTGAAATGTTACCTTTGAGTGCACACATTTTTTATGTGTAAACATGCATGGAATATGTAGCATTTTGTTTTGAAATCACCTCAATGTGGTATTTGTTAGTAGTAGAGTAAAATTGTCTGAAAAAATAGACCTTAGTCTGAGTGTGTGGCATGGCAAAGGCTTTTTTTTGGTTGCTTTTGGGTTTCTACCTTCCACTACTGAAATGTAGCTGAGAAGAGTGGAGTTATGTTGGAATATGTTTATTGTGATTTTTAACATGATAATAATCCGATGCCTGTGATGTTCCTGCTGACAGTTGCTTGATGGCAATGGAAATGGATTTCAGCATGGGGCAGCAGGTGAACTGAGCAGCACATACATACCGGAGGGCAAATTCAAAGTCATCACATTTGTGATGGTCTTTGGATCTCTTTTGGCTGGGATTTACCTTCCAAACATCGAGGTTGTGCTGAGTCTGCTGGGGTCCACTATAGGAACCATCATCTGTGTGATCTTTCCGGCCATCATTTTCGTCAAAGTTACCACCAAAAACACAAGCGAGCGCATGCTGGCACAGGTCAGTAGTCATAGAGATTCTCTATCATCATCATCACAGGGTGAAAAAATAAATTAGGACAGTGTTAGCTTGGGCTGAGAATCAGATCTTCAAAACTTTTTTCTTTTTAACCCTCCGATTTAGAATACTTTTAAGGTGGCAAATGAAAGTTTGCCAAATTTGTCACACCTTATAAGAACTTGTAGAACATTTATATTGTATACACCTGTCTGTCAAGTGATGTATGAGGGGTGATCCAAAGGCTTATGCCCTGAGATATAAGGGAATGTGATCACTTGATGAAACAAAGTGCACCATATATTTCAGCATTGCCTCCTTGGACATCAATACTTGTCCCATTGATTGAGCAGGGCTTGAATTTTATAGGGAAAAATTTCTTTTTTCCATAGTCAGCTAGAATTGCTTTGAAATTTAATTGAATTTGCATTATTGTCCATTTCGCCTTTGTGGCTGCTTTACAGGAAGTTTTGCTTTAAATTTATGATATTGAATGAGCTGTTTTGTTGGGATGAATAAATTTATGTCCAATGAATGCTTTAATTAATAAAAAAAACTGCTCCATATTTATGATGAAGTATGAAATGTGGGAACCAACTTTCAGCCTTCTCTGATCATTTCAACTACCTCTGGGCAGAAACTTTTGGATTACCCCTCTGATATATATATTTAGTTAGCAGTTTGGTTAGTGCAGTATCATGTCCTCAAGTGAGTTGTTCAAATAATTTCCTATTATTCCAAAGTACTCTTTAACTTGGAGTGATGAGAACTACCTACTGCCTTCTTTGTGGCTATTTTAGATGTCAGTGGCTAACATAGTAACCATACATTTTCAGCACTGCTACTTGGATATTCTTTCTTATGGGCAAAGTTTACTGTCCCAGTAGATTTGAATCAGTTATGCTTGGCATGTTGGCTCTAAAAAGGAAAAAAAAATTTTCAGCATATCTTGCAGATCACATATCTAAATTTATACATTGAAATGGATTTGTGTTCCCCATCTTCTCTATTGATGCTGATGTAAGTATAGCAGGGTAGAGAAGGTCATGGGCCATCTGGTTAAGAATCAATAACCAATCAGGCAGTGTGCCTTCAAGTTTGATATTTGGTGGAGATATCCAAATCTTTTTTTTTTTGGAATAGGCCTTTTTTTGCATGAAATTTGATCAAACTGATGCCATTGCTACTTCTTCTTTTCAGCTAGTTGTGAATATAATAGATATTTTCTTTCGTTTCAGGTCCTTTTCTGTATTGGAATCTTCATGTTGGTGGCAGGTACATATACCAACTTGGCTGCAATGGACCATGCTAGCAATGTGATTAATGATCCTCCATCTCTTCTGGTTGATGACAAGGCTGTACCTGGTAAGCAGTTACTGAGTCTCTTTGTTGCTAGGATTCCCTTGCTCTCAAACATCTGGCATGTAGGGCTGTTTGCAACACCCAAGCATGGGGAGATGAGAATTTCAGTTTTTCTTTTTCTTTCTGTCTTTGAGTAAAGAAAAATCTCCTCTGACAGGATTTTCATCCAGATATTGATTAACCCCAACAAACTGACCATGGATTTTTGTCCACTGATTGTTATGATAAATAAATTGTTGCAATTCAACCACCTTGCATATGTAGCATTATAGGGGATCTGTCATTCATCCTGTCTTCACACCGTGTCTCTGTTGTAGAATGTTGTGATAGAATCATTGCTATCAGTGCCCTATGAGCTCTCTTATGGAAATATGCATTTTCATAGCCTTTTTTTCTTCCTTTTCCCCCATGCCATGGCATAGTTAAGATTACCCTGGAACAATGTTGATACAATATTACATAATGGATTTGTCAGATTTTTATTTGTTCATACAGCATGTGTTGAATAGACAGGATAGGCCACTCTTGAAGGAAAGACATTAAAATGTAAAGTATCAGGAATAACTTTTTTATATGGGCCTTGCATTTAGGGTTTCCTTCTAAAATTTATCTTGGGTAAAAGTATATAACAAATAAGGGTTTGACTTCATTGAGAAATCCCGTCTGTTGGATTTTTACCACCTGTGTGTATGTTTTTGAAAAAAAAAAGAGGCATTGCAGATCACTGTGGTTGGGTATTTCAGGTGCTCCGAAGCTGACACCAGACTCTGTGGCCAAATCACTTGGCAACCTAGCATTGGATGCTGTTAATGGAGATATTAAGACTGCCATCAAAGACCCAGGAAAAGACCCAGTGAATGCTGGCCAAAACAAGAAGGATGACCTCCTGCAGGAGTTGAAAAAGGAACAGGAGGAGCAGCGGAAAATCTTGGAGGAGCAGCAGAAGATCCTTGAGGAACTACGGCTTCAGAAGGAGAAGGATGCCAAAGGCAATAAGAGCAAGGTAGAACCACAGAAACAGACAAAGAATGTGTCGCTGAATGAGCAGAACCCAGCTGTTCCTGGGTTAGGTGAAGTGAAAGCAAATATCCTGCCAGATTCACCAAAAGACTCTGCAGGACATGTGGTTAAGAAGGAATTGAAGCCTCTCCCCCGACAGTTTAAAACTCAAGTCAACCAATCGGACTCTAAAGTCATCTCAAGCAATGTGGACCTGCCTGAGAGCAAAGTCTCTGAAGCAAAACCACTAGATCATGCATTACTTGCCAAGGAAATGAATGTGATACCCATAGGCCAGGTAGGAGATGCACAAAATGAAAGGAGGAGGGAGGGAAAGGCGAATCCTTCAGCTGATGCAATGAAGGTCCCACTTGACAATGTCCCAGAACCTAAGAATGATAGGAAACAAGACAGCCAGCCGTTAGAGACCATTGGGGGTATAAAGACCTCTAATACCTCTGGTCTTGATGCAGGGAATGCAATTCCAGCTCTCAGTAACAGTAACCCGGTTCTGAATCTCTTGAATTACCCTGCACCAGAAGCTGCAGAGCCAAAATTTTCACCTGGGAAGCCATTGATTGGTGCATCACAGGGAGTAGGGGGTCTTGATCCCAGGTTTATTCAAACTGATAAGGCACCTCAGGCTGATGAGCAGGGCGGGAAGAAAATTGAAAAGAGTGATATGAAGTGAGGAATACTTGCTTGGTACCATTGATTGGAATTAGGATTTTCTGAAATTATTATTATTCCATAAGGGTTTTGGAGAAGTGTGAAGCTTACTTTGAACAAATGAAAAGTGGTCTGGTGTTTTTTTCTGGATGAAAGCAAAAGACAGGAAAAAATTAATTCTGCACAATATTTATTGAAATTTGAAGTTGAGCTGGTGGCAAATGTACCTCTCTACAGGTTCAGTCTTGCATGCTTGATGCATTTTCAACCTTTGGAAAAAAAAGGTATCTGATTTAATAAAGTTGCCGGTAATATTTAGTCAGGGATAATATTGACATTGCTGGATGGTATATGGATCTTCTGTTTGGTCATACACCTACAGGGTATGAGAAGATCTATGTCATCATATCCCATTTAGGTCTGTGATATCTTGAGTGTGATGCATCCCTTTTTTTCCTTTGCTGTTCTCATCCTGGATTGTTCAAGCACCCATCAGTTCTGTTCTATGCTGATGTTTTTCACAATTGCTAGTGAAAATTGGAATTTCTGAATGCATTGTTCATGCTGAGTTTTCTCTCTTAAAAGGGCAATGATGTCCATAGAAGGAATTCTCAGTTTTCATTAGCAGTGTTAAGTATGCCTTACCATAGACAATCATTGCCTACTAGTTTTGTTCCTAGATCCCTTTGTTTTAGAAATTAGGGACCAAAGAAAGAAGTACAAGGAATGGCAACACCAATTGGACACTTGATTCTTCATGCAACTCCATAGTAGCATATGCCCTACCATGCCTGTCCATTTTGCATATCTTTGCAAGTATGTCCTTTGAGAGACCAGCCATTTCAATTTCTCATTGTGAAGGCTTTTGTCTTACATCAGCATGGCCATTGAGTAGCATGGGAAAAAATCAAAACCATCTCCTGCCTCAATTGTGATAGCATGTTGCCAGCGTTTGGAATACTAATGATGCCAAACAGAGAGAGTGTGATGTAGGTTTTTCCCAGGTAACTCTAGTCATAATGCACCTGCAATATAATCACTCTCTTTGAAGGAAAGAGGAGTCTTATTCCTCCAAATGAGGTAATATAACTTTCCTACTTGAATGAGTCAGGGGCATGCATCTTAGTTCCTTTTGCTATGGAGTTCCATGGGTTAGCAATCAACTTGGACCATGTGTGGCCAAACCTGAGAAGAACTGTTGTATTTTAGGAGAAAGAGTGCACATTCATATTTGATTTCTATTCTCCAAATTCTCTGCCCTATTCCACTCACTTTTTTTTTACTCTCTCCCCCAGTAAGGGCTGATGTATTTACCATCAGAAATGTACAGGGTAACAAATAAATTGGTTTAGCTACTCAGAGATGTGTATTTGGTATCTATGTCATATTACCTTGAATCTTGGTAGAGCCTCTCACAATATCATAGAGACAATTATAAGTCAAAACTTCATTGCATATAAAAAATAATGATGTTGGACATGACACAGGTGCTAACATCATAAATGTTCAAAATGTTCACTATTTTCCTAATTGTTGGTTTACATTCTTGGCAGCAATACCAACCTTTGGGTGGTCTCCTGTATGGGTGATGTTGCTGTACCTGTAATTCATCTTCCCATTGTGTAGTGGAACTAGTCTACCAAGATTCAAGGTTATGTGGGTCAATTCATGCAAAGATATACATACCTGGATAGCTAAACTAATTCATTGGTCCCTATATAAAGCCTTTAGGATGAAGTCCAATGTCAGTTTTGGATAAGTTCAATCTCAGGTATTCCACCTGTTTGTCTGAAGTACACTGAATACATTGCGGTACATCCTTGTACCATTTGACTGAGACTGTCTCAGCTGAATAAGGAAAAGTTGAACTTGTCACTTTTTGTGACAGTGGAGTTGGGACACAAAAGGGAGGTTGGTTTTCCTATTCTTAAGTTATCACTGTTTAAATCTGTCATGTATTTATAGTGCACTGGTTTGTGCATACATGGTGATGGCATAAATACGAAGTGCAGCACGTGTTCAAATTGAAAAGTTTTTCTTAAATAAAAAAAGTCATTGGTTGTATGAATCCTAAAAGACATGATTCTTCACAATGCCATTAAACATTTCCAACAACTTAAGTATCCTGAGGTTCTGTATCTAGCCTTGGGAATACCTATTCATTTTAGGTTTGGATATTTGAGGAGAATGCATTGATCTGGCACATTGTCATTGTTGCATATTTCAGTGTAATAGTTTTCCTTCAATCAGCATAAAAATTCATTTGGCATGAGAACACCTGATGTATTCCTATGACCCTGAACCAGCATCACTGATGTAGTGATGTCTAAGTGTGTCTGGGGTTGATGGTTATGCAAATCCCAGTGCTTTCAATGCTAAAATGTGTGGTGCAAGTCTATGAAAGTGATGCAATGATCCTTATGATTTTCTCTTTTGGAGCTACATGATCTTACCCTCATTTAAGCTCTTATAATTATGGATTCATGATTTGCTGTGCTCTGCATGCTATATCCATGGTTTTCTCAGATGGGATTTGGTGTGAAAGGCCATAAAATGATATTTTCGAGTCCAGTGATTTTTTTTTTTTTTTTTTTTTACCTATATAGGGATGTTCTATCCCCACCTTAGCACTTCTCTGTGGACTTTCATAATAAACCTGGGAGTGAGTGTAAAAAGTTCTAATATGAATAATTTTAAAAGGAGGTATTTTCATTTGTCAAATATTTAAATACAGACCTCTGAAAATCATGAACTTTTGAAATGTACCTGCTGCTGCTGGAGGTGTCAACATCTGGTTCTTCAAATCAATTGCTCTTACTTGCTCCACCTCACTAATAATAATCACAAATGAGGTGGTGAGCAGCTATCTGACTTTATGACTGCAAATGGCAGGAGTAATGCATCTTATTTCCATCTACGAATGAAGTGAGTCTCCACTTGATTCTGTGGATGACTGGCAGTTCCATGCTGACCTTCACAGTTTTATGAGTCATCTTGCAGGGCTTTTTATGCTTGCTGAGAGTAATCATGCCCAGTGCATGTTTAAGACCAAGTTTCACTTTGTAGTTTGTAAGCTAGTCACTAACCTGCTGTGCAATATTTGTTTAAGCAAGAAATTGATTAGTAGTCTACTAATTGGTGCAAATAATTTTTTAGTGATTTATCTCTTATTGAATTCCTGACAGCACCTTTGCAGCACGTATTTGTGTCCAAAAGTGATATCATTTGGCAGATAGCTGGTGGCCTTGGAGGCAGGTGAGTGGCTTTGTTGTTATAATTGCTTTTGTGATTGGAGACCTGGTGGGTTGATGGGTAGCCTAGCCCCAGAGTAAGCACTTTGGCCAAGTTGAATCTCTCAGGGGATTGTTATGGGGAGGTTGGAGACTAATTAGGTCTTAGATGAGGTTACAGGGGGATAAGGTTGACTGGAGTTCCAGGAAGAAAGTGTTTTCATGAACCTTGAGCCTCTTATACTTGGTATCTTCTCAATGTATATCCAGTAGTTGTCAAATGTTTTCTGCTACCAAAGTATATGTTGAATCTGTGCATCTGGTAACAGCAGTGGTGAAGGATGGAGACAACGTCAGAAGTGAAGGAAACAGAGCAGAAAGCTGTGGTGCCCGCACCTGGAATTCGTTTCATGAATCTGTCACCATTGGACAGGCAGCAGCTGATGGCTGGCTATGAAGTATTTTCCCGAATCCCTTTCCAGGGATACCTGGGCAGGGAATTGCAACCAATCTTCCGGCCCAAGAGGCTGATGATCAGAGTAGCACAGTTTGACTTCCTTCGCTCTACCCTTGGTGAGTCCCATCACTTCTGCATACTTCTAATTTTTTGGGGGATGCATGCAGTTACTGATTGGGCCATCATCAGCCTGCTCTAAGCAGCATTACTTATGCCATTCCTGTGCTCAATTGTTGGGCTTGATTACTCTCTTCTTTCCCTGGGATGAAGAAAGCAACAATTAAGAAGTCTATTTCATGGCTACACCCATGGGTTGTACCCAGTTGTAGGGTGTCTGGTTTGTCATCTTTCCTTGCTATGTTGGAGCTAATTCAGAAATTGGTGACTATATCTTAGCTTATCTTCTCAGTAGGTGTTTTACCATAAGTAATTACTGTTAAAGTGTTTATGTACTGAATAAATATATCCCTGAAGTAAATATATTAGGCTATGCCTAGCTTCCATGGTTGCTATCTTGATTAGTCTGGAGGACTGGCTGAAGCATCTAGGAAAGATTAGAACCTAAGAGTTCAATCCTGACACTCGTACCTCAGCAAGATCTGAATGAATCCATTACTTGCTTTCCAATAGCAATGGACAATACATGTAGAGCTAGACTTGTTAAGTACTATCCATCTATCTATGCTAAATCTAATAAGGTTTTTTGGTTTTGCATCTATCCTTTTATCATTTAGGTGATTTTCTTCCTTAATGAGTGTACTTCATTATTTTCAGCTTTCTCCAGGTTCCTTCAGAATGCAAAAGTTTAACTCAATGCAAGAGTCCAGTTTGTATATTTTCCAAGTGCCACTATGCAACTATCCTGTTTTCAGCCAAATTGAATTTGGAACCCTATGTGACACATACAGCATTTAATAACATGCATTGAAGTATAATTTGACTGTCACAATTGCAAACAGCCCCGTAGTGTCTGTGTTACAGTTGGTTTCTCCCAGCTGATCAAAAATATTCATATCAGATCAGGTATACTGTGTCTTTGAAACATTTCTCTTATGTGGGTTAGAATGAAGGATCCCAATGCATTGCTTTGCTTGGGTCTGGACTATTACAAAACAAAGGAAACACTCTCCATTCTTGACCATTTTACATGAGAGCACTTTGACTCTGATAAGTCTTGCTTGAAAGAATGGTTAGGAAAGGAAATGTTGGTCTTAGAAGAATCCTCCATCAATAATTTTTTTACAGCTTTTCCTAGGTTCTATACTGCAGTGTAATGCTGCCACCTAGAAGTGGATGGCACTTTTTGCAATTTTCTGGAATTTCTGATACCTTTTTGGTTCAATTTCATTACACTTGACTGTCAGGGGTAGATGCTGTAGATTCAAAATGAGATAATCAGACTGTCACTTAGCAGTGATGAATTTTGTTGAAGATATCACAGAGATATCATACTGAGTTTTTAATGTGGCTTTTATTGTTGCCCCAGTGAGAGATTCTTCAAATATGTCACTTGCATTTTTTAATAATTTAAATTCCTCCTCTGTAACATACATCTGTGAATGCATCCACAGGGGGTCGGAAGTTGCGAGTGGCAGCCTCTGTAAACAATGTAGCTGAGGTGGAACGACTTCTCAAGATCGGTGTGGGTCCTAATTTGGCTGACGAAAGGAAACGCACTGCCCTTCACATAGCAGCCAGTCGAGGCTTCACCGAAGTGGTGCGGGTGTTGCTCCAGAATGGGGCTGACCCCAATGCCAAGGATTGTGTCAACAACATTCCGCTCCACCTGGCTGCCTGCACTGGGAACTTGGACATTGTCACACTCCTCCTTCATGCTGGTCTGTCTTCATTCAGTTTTTTTTTTTTTTTAGTTTCTGGATAAGACTCCAAAGTAGCTGGGGATGAATTGGTCTCTTTGCAACCCATGTGGCAAACCTTACCTTAACCCCTTAACTGGGAAATTTTGAATGCATATGTGCGGTGATTCCATTGAGAGAAGGCAGGTGCCAGACCGCACATATGTGGCGAGTCCATTTAAGGGAAGGGGTTAAAATATTAAACTGTTCAAAGGTTTTTCTCCTCAGAATTAAATAATTCCTTTCAGCAGCCAGCAGGATTGCTCCTATCATGGTCTTTCAGATTGATCCCATTTATTCTGTCATAGGTCTGCAGTGTACCTTGTCTTAAAATATAGATAAATTGTCTTTAACAGTTTAGCAGAGAAAGGCAGAAGCTCCAGAGTTACTAGGTTAAATGAGTTAATGAAAAGGTACTAATGAGAAGAAAATATGATTGCCTATAAGTGGGGTGGCACATTGCCTGCCTCCTTAGAGAGGTGTAGGATCATTTCAGAATGGAATTGCAGGAAGATGAAAGCCTTTTTATTGTCTCACTAATTAGGCATGTGATACAATTCAGACTCATTTGCATAACTCAGTTCCAGAATATTCAAAACCCTCTGAATGCTCAGGAATAGTCAGGAAAAGTGATTTTGTAAATTTACTTTCCTTGTCCCAGGAACCCTTTCCAGTCCTGAATCTTATCTTTTCATGAATAATAAAAAAATTAGTGTTTGCCTGTAAAAGTGGTTTTAAAAATGTCCAATAGTCCAAGAGCTATTCAGGAAAGAGGATGTTGAGGTAAGATTGAGTTTTCGCTTTTTGATGTGATTGCAGGCTCAGATGTTACCCTGGTGGATTCCTATGGCACAAATCCTCTGAATCTGGCTCGTTCACGGCTGAAACTCCTCTGCAACGACTCCAGCCTCACTCCCTCAGCCATCAAGAGCCAATGCAAGCAGGTGAAGCTCTTGTTTTGCTAGAAGAATTTAATGTTTTTATAATAATCTTTTCTAAGGGCTTGCATTTAGTTTTCCTTTGTATAAATTAATTATCTATAGTTGAGTCTTTTTGAATATCAGTGTCAGATTGCACCAGGCACCATCATGTTACATTTTGAATTGGTCCAGAGATAACACTTACTGTTGCTACAAATGAGGAAGTATAAGATTATGCAGTTTCTAGCTATTTACATGGAAAATAAATTTGTGGAGAAATAAACATATGGAGAAATAAAAAGAAACACAGCTTTGTATTTAAAAAAAGAGATAGGTGGAGGAAAATCATCAGCACTTATCTATTTGTTTACATGTTTGCTTCCAGTGAGATGTTTTGTTAGTTTCAAGTATTGTTTTTGATATGGGATATTTTGGACACTTTTGCTGGTGAAGGTTTTCAGTTTGGCAAAGAGAAACTGTACTGTTGGAGTCATAAGTCTTTTTCTTCTGTCCCTTGCAACTTTGTCATGAAGAATGGTATTGACTTGAACCTTGTGCAGTTCCATTATCACTGTGACTGGAGGTTTCCAAGATCAGAACAACAATTTAAGCATGTTATTAAATCCTCTGAGGCTCTATGAAACCAGAGGAAAGGTTGGAATCAGTGTATTTGTCAGATAGTTGAAGCCAAGTGTATCTCCACTGTATTAATCTCAGATTGAGGGTGCAATTTGGTTAGAATTCAGCATAATTGGAATGTAAATTTGGTTTGGTTCTGATCTAGCATTAAATTGATATACACTCAATGTCCACAAAATTAGAGATACCTCACTAGTAGCATGTTGAACTGCCTTTGGCCCTCAAAACAGCATCAATTCGTCATGGCATGGATTCCACGAGGTGCTGGAAACTTTCTGCAGGTATCCCGGCCCATGCTGCTAGCACAGCATCACTCGGTTGCCGCTTGTTTGATGGCAGTACAGGCAAGTCCTGCACAGCCCGTTCCACCTCATCCCAAAGATGTTCTATTGGATTGAGATCAGGGGACTGTGCGGGCCACTGGAGCAAGGTAAATTCCTGGGCATGTTCCTCGAACCAATCCATGACGATACGGCCCTTGTGGCACAGTGCATTGTCCTGCTGAAAGTATCCATCTGCTAAAGGGAAAACGGTGGTCATAAAGGGATGGACCCAATCGGCAACGATGTTCAGGTATGCCATACTGTCCTGACGACCTTCCAGGGGTATGAGGGGACCTAGGGTTTGCCAACAGAACACACCCCACACCATCACAGAGCCGCCACCACCCTGTAATGTTGACACCAAACAGGAGGGGTACATGGATTCATGTTTCCTGCACCAGATTCGCATCCTCCCATTGGCGAAATGCAACTGGAACTGGGATTCACCTGACCACGCAACCTTTTTCCACTCAGCAATAGTCCAGTGACGATGCTCTTTTGCCCAGAGAAGTCTCCCTTTCCTGTTTTTGTCTGACAACATTGGCACCTGAACTGGTCTTCTGTGGTTGCAGCCCATTCATGCTAAGGTGTGACGGGTTGTGTGCACGGATGTGCTTTTTGGGACACCAGTGTTGAATTTTGCCGTGATTTGGCGTACTGTAGCTCGCCTGTCGGCCAAAATAATACGTGACAGCCTTATCTGAAACCGAGCATCAACAAGGTTCTGCCGTCCACAGGATGCCATTGCAGCCATTGTTTTTCGCTCATCACACCATTCACGGTATACCCATGAAACTGTAGCACGTGAAAAGCCTAGCAGTTTGACGGTTTCCGCGAAACTCAAACCAACTAGTCTGGCACTAACGACCGTTCCGCGTTCAAAGTAGCTGAGGTCTGTTGATTTGCCCATTCTGCAGTCAAAACACACACACTAAAGCAGGGCTGCCTGCTTTAGGTCACAACCTAACCTACCTAACCTAGGTTAGGTTGTGCTGTAGCTGCATGGAAAGTTGAATGTAGGGGTATCTCTAATTATGTGGACATTGAGTGTATATATTAATCTATTCACTTATGTAAGTCTATGTCTTCATTCAGGATTTGTCTGAGTATAATATGAGATTGGAGTATTCTATTTGTTAATTCATCATGGAGGAATGCCTTAATGTTTGACGTGCCCATTGAATTATGCTTTCATATCATTGAAAATAGCCCAGTTAAGATTCATTTTAGCTTCTCATTGCTTACTTACAATGGAATGTATCCTTGAATACAGATTGTGGAGATGCTGCAGGCTTACCTGACTCGACGTGAGACAGGTCGAGGAGGGGATGGAAGTTGCAAAGAGATTTGGGAGGATTTTGAGCAAAAGCTCAAGCTGCACAACACCAAGGAAGAAATCGATGGTGACATTGTCAGTGTTCTGAATGATCTTGACTCCCTCTCCCTCACCAAATCCTGATCTTAAAGAGAAAATTTTATTTAAAAGTAATTTCCATTTATTATGAGATTTTGCTTCCTTATATTATTCTCTGTGAAAATCTGATGCTGACAGGAAATAAAAATTTTTTATATTCCATCCAAATTGGAAATGTTTTTATTTTCAGAGCAGTGATTTAACAAGGTCTCCATTGAGGATGACTCATCAAAGCTTGATGATGACTGTTGTCTTCATTATTGTATTTCTAGACAGTGCATAAAATGTGTATTGATAACTTCATCTGCTGCTAGCTCACCAACTTGTCAGACATTTGTTTGGACTGTGTTAAACTTGATTCTTACAGTGCTTGAGCAGTGTAATCTTTCAACAGCAGCTTTGTAGTCTTTGAGCAGTATTTGCAATTCTGGAGATATAAATAAATGTATCACATTTTTTTATCCAGCTGACTTGGGACAAATTTTTTTTTTTCCTGAGAGCCATTTCTGAGTCAGTCCTATGAAATAATATGAAAGTCATTCTTCCATAGTCCATGGACTCAGAAAGGTAATTTTCCTTGCAGAAGATTGTCTCATGTTTTGTATCTGTGCTTTCTTGTGTCAGTTGAATGGAGAGCTGTCAAGGCTGGGCAGCATTAGCAATGCAATCTATGTCAGATTATGTATAGCCTGGCAAGCCGCCTTCTCCCTTTTTCTGTGGTTCAAGCTGGAACTCAAGCCTACTTCCGAGGTTTGTGTACTCTTCCTTCAAGCTTATGAAATATTAGGTTTTGCATTGAGGTCATTGCAAAACAAGAAAGTTTTCTCTCTTCTAGAGGCTCCTATGGAGAGTTTGAAACTTGGATGGGAAAGATATTTGATCTGTGCATATGCAGGAGTGAGATCATATTCAAGTCTTTGATAGTTTTGCTGATTTCTCTACATCATTGCATTGATGCCATGTTATGGTAGGATGCAATGTGGGGTCATCAACCTTTTGTAATGCATATGATGTTGCAGTTTTCTTTTTCAGGTAATTTGTAATTATGTAATAGAATTAGTTTCCATTTGTGAAAAGAGGCAGCAGTTACTCTGTCTCTTTCTTGCTGAGGATTTTTGTGAATTACATGTTTCATTTCCAGAAGGTCATACTCATGCAAAGATATGATACTTCTTAAGTGTGTGAGGTTTGAAAATGGATATGATCCAGCAGCCAACTCATTTTTCTATCTCACATAGTTTCATTTATGTTCTTAATGATTTATTTTTTACTATGTCTTCTCTGCATTGTTCTCCAGGAATTGCTTCTTCATTATTTCTGGCACACCAATACCTCATATTTCTCAGGTTTTTTTTTAAATTGCAATATCCTTGAATAAAATATTCTAGAAAAGAGATCCATTTGTTACCTGTCAAAATCTGCAACATGGGAATATGGGAATGGTCACTGCCTCTTTTTCATTTCCTTCTAATAATATAATGTACCATTTTGGTAGTATGTAACTTGATATATACTACAATAAGAAAAATATTGGGAAAACAATAAGTCCAGGACTTGATGTCTTTTAGAAATTGTTTTTAGGCACTAATTAACAACAGAAGACTCACTTTTGTTAATGTGACCCTGTCTGTTGTCCACATCTGCTTCATGAGATGCATTTTCCTGAGTGAAATAATTATCACATGTTCAATGATTAGAGCAACAGGGATATTCTGGCCAAGAGTCTAAGGGTCTGTGGGAGAGCAAATGGATTTCATGCTTCTCTCAGATTTAAGAGGCCATCCATCAATGATATTTTTGGATGATAGGAACCAATTAATTGTCTACCCAGATCTAACCTTTTGGATCTGCTTCTCCATTTAGTGTCTCTATTTGTTGACAGACTTCTTTTGGTCATAGAGTCCTTGCCTTATTGTCACCCCATCACTCTAATTTTTGAATGCACAGTTTGTAATTAAAACTGTAGTTGTCATTTACCCATGTTCAAGTAATGTTGAGATATCTGCATGCTCAGGAAGGCAGACTTCATTTTTATTTCCAAATTCAGCTTGTTGCTGGCTTACTGGTTTCAGCATTTGTGTTGTGCTGCACAATTGTTGGGAGGACTTGTTCCAATTTAATGCATGGGGTATCAACCCTATGTGGGTGTTTTTTTTTTTAATTTGTTGTATTTATGCTCTGCTGAAGTCAGTTGTCCATTATGATGTCATGGTTTTGGATTCCAGTGACAACATTGCTCAAGAGACATAAGCATTCCTCTACAACCTTGGTTGAGCAGAGCAACATGAAGGTCAAGGTCCTTCCAGCTCTCTCTGACAACTACATGTATCTGGTAAGCTTGATACTAGTTGAGTACATTGTGTGAATTAAGATCTGGAAGCTCCAAAACATTTTACAACCCTTCAAGATTTTAAAAGAAAGCTTTTTTTATACTTTTTTTTGTCATTGGAATGCTAAACACTTGAGGTTTCAACCTTTGAATTATTTTTTATGCAGTTCTGGAGGACCTCATTCTACAATCTTGCACATTTTTTGCTGTAAAAAAAACGTTATATTTTGCTTTATTCTTCTTGGGAAACTTGATACAAGTAACAGACTGTCTGTTCTGGGTTTTAGTTATAAGTTGAACTATCAGGTGGAAACACGAATTTCAAGAAAGTCACACAGTCATTGCATAATATCTATTATTAGTCAGAGGAAATAAAAAATAGTCCTGCAGGAAAAATGTTGAGTTGAGGATTTTAGACATATTAGATTACTGCCAAAAGCAGACTCTTGCAGTATGGGGACATATTCATTGTTGATTGTGATGATGTGGTGTAAAAATATGCAGCTATCAGGTTTCTTCCTACAAATAAATTATCATGTGTGTCAAGTGCCATTGTAAATTTACAGTGCCTTCATGTCACAGCCATGCTGTGCTTATACAGTGGTACCTCGCATAACGAACGCAATTCGTTCCAGCGGTGCGTTCGTTATGCGAGGTGTTCGCAAGTGAAAGTGAAACATTTTTTCCTAATTTCCTTGATTTTTCGCGGCAACGTGGAACGGATTACATGATTTCCCATAGATGTCTATGGGAAATCGTGTTTCGCATAACGAACGCACCACTGGAACGAATTGCGTTCGTTATGCGAGGTACCACTGTATCTTCCAATGCACCAATCAGAATGGCAAGAAAAGAAAATCTGCCTGAATGCAAATTTAATTTTCATCATTTCAGGAAAGTGTTCAGAGAAGTATGTTGTCAATGTTAATGGTGATAATGATGACTCATGGTGATGCTTGTGCTTATCCCAAGGTGATTAGTGATTGGAATTTCCTTCATGGAATATCTTCTGCTAGAGTTGTTAAGATCACACCCATCCATAGGTAACCAGCAAAAATGGAGTTTTCATGTAGACAGAATGCAATTTTCTCATCACTATCTTTAAAAAGAGAGAAAATATTATTCTTCTAAGATTGAGTCTGTGAGAAGTCTCTTGTTTTGGCAAAGCCATCTCTGGGTCTGGCAGCATAATGTCACTCCTGGAGCAATGTTATATAGACCCTTCATAATTATATATGTGATAGCCAATCTGTCTACTTCTCTTGTCTAACCAATTGGGAGGCCAACCATTCACCTTATATATGGAGGATGATGTGCATATTTTCCCATATACATTCTGTATCTGTGATACACCATCCCCTCTTCCTATCTTTGTAAGTAGCCATATTTCATGGCACTTGGAGGAAGGAAAGGTTATCTTCAAATTGCATGAGGGCTTGAATCATGCCTACTCATTGGTCATTTTCCCTTTACATTATAGATACTGTGACAAGTTGAACATGACATATATTATCTGAAAAAACAATCTAGGAAAATTAATGAGAAAATACAAAGTGAAGAAAAAAAATAAGAGTGGCAATTGCTGTGACATTTTAAAATTCAACATTGTAAGTCATAACTACATACTGTTTTAACCAATCATTTATGATATTGGCTCCTTCATGATCCAGTAACTTTGAACTAAGTAGGTGGTAAGTCTTCTAATTCCCAATTGGTCATTTTGACTGTTGCTATAGATTGTGGACCCAGCCACAAATGATGCTGCTGTTGTGGATCCAGTGGAACCAGCATCAGTGCTGGAAACAGTGAAGCAGGAGGGCTGGAATCTTAAATCTGTGCTCACCACCCATCATCACTGGTAGTTTTAATAACTCATGTCATCTAATTGACAGTATTTAATAACTCTGGCATGTTGAAAATAAAGTTCAATGTTGAGCTTGGGAGCAACATTTGTTCATCCGTATCCCTGACCATATAGTTGCAGTCTAAGAAAATTGAAGAAAAATGCCTTTTTTATGCAAAAAATTGCAAAGAAAGAGTGATGAACAGTTTGACTGACTTTTGTCAAGAGTTCTTCCTTTGAAAAGTTAAAGAATTACTCTCCTGTAATTCAGCACAAAATGAAAAGGGAAAAAAAGTGTCTTATTCTACATACTGCAAAATTAGTTTGTTTTACCTTTATTAGATGGATTTAAATCTCCTGGGTAAGTGCTGACAGACAAATATTTTCTATGAAGCTTGTAAACACTCATCAACTGAGCAATTATTCATTTAATATCAGAGCATTTTTTCCAAAAAGTTGCAGTACAGCATTTGTACCTTTAGGCCCTGGAAAAATGCTTTCTGTGGCACAGCAGTTGTGACATTAGTCTGGTAAAGGTTTATGTTCAAATATATGTATGCATGTATGATACAGGTTAATATTATGAAATCATAACTGACAGCAGTGCCATTACTATGAATCATTTGATAGCCTTTAGTGCAGTTCCATACAGTTTATCTGATATGAGATGTCACCCCTCAGTTGTATTTGTGTGATGATTGCACAGGGACCATGCTGGGGGGAACTCAGCATTGGTGAAGGAAGTGCCAGGGATCCCTGTCTATGGAGGGGACAAACGGGTGGATGCTTTGTCTCATCGGGTGTCCCATGGTGATGAGCTGACTATTGGGTCCCTGAATGTGAAATGCCTCTTTACCCCTTGCCATACTTCTGGCCACATCTGCTACTATGTCACTAGTCCCAACTCAGATGCTCCAGCTGCTGTCTTCACAGGTCTGTCTCCCTTGTGAGTCTACCAGAAGAAGTAATATGTATATCTGATTTTCCCATAATTTCTTAAGTGATTTGGATGTGTTTCAAGGCATTTTTTTTTTCATGCTGGGCTATTTCAATTATAGCCCTTGCAAGGGCATCATAATGCCTTGATATCTATATTTCTGTGCAATGAATTTGCCATAATCTACTTGAGTTGTATCTTTACCACCAATAAAGGCAGCAGTGGTTCTCTTAAAGAGTGTTCATAAAAATTAATTTGTGGAGTCATTTGCTGGTGAAAGAGGGGAAGGTCTTGAAAGTAGGAAATATGGACTGGGACATGAAAAAAAAAGGCTAATTACTCCCATTTCCTTTCAATGGAATCCCCTGTTCTACCTAGAAGCCATTGGTGGTTGATCTGGGAAGTATGATTTCCCTATTGTTGGCCTAATTCTTGTTTTATGCAAATGTTACTGTGTAGTTGCAAATATATGGAATTGAATTTTTTTTATTTTCATGCCTAAATAATGCACTGCATCATGCTAGAGCAGGGGTTGGGAACCTTTTTGGCCATGTGAGCCATTTTAAGATTGAGCTAAGTGCTTGTGAGAAAAATATTTTCAATACAACATAATTTTTCCTGAAGTTGACAACAGACATATGCAATCTTTGGTACATGAGAAAAATAAGGAACAACCATGATTTTCAGTCATGACTCAATGAGCCAAACTTTTCGGCTTATGAGCCAAATTTGGCTCATAAGCCATAGGTTGGTTCCTGACCCCTGTGTTAATGGTATAGACAAAAGATTTCCCTTTTGACTTCGTCATCCTGCTTCTTGACTTTTTTAAGGGTTTTGATAAAGTGAGCTTGTAATAGTAATAGCTAGTGTGTAACTAATGAAATGTAACATGTTTTGCAATTAACAAGCATGGAAATTTACTGTTTGGTTGTGACTTTTAGGGTGACCAGCAGGATTGACCTACTGTGTACATGTTCGGTAATTTTTGCTTCAGGTGACACGCTCTTTATTGCTGGATGTGGGAAGTTCTTTGAAGGCACTGGGCAGGAGATGTACAAGGCTCTGATCGAGATCCTTGGAACCCTTCCTGATGACACTGTAAGGTCTCTTTGAGGGACATAACGGTACTTACCTTTGGTTTTATAACCTCTTGACTGGTCTATGCCTTTTGTCTTCACTTTAGCAAGTGTATTGTGGACACGAGTACACGGTCAGCAACTTAAAGTTTGCACAGCATGTGGAACCAGGAAACCAAGACCTGAAAGCAAAGATAGAGTGGGCCAAAAAGAAGACTGAAGCTAAAGAGCCCACCGTTCCGTCGACCATCGGTACGTCGCTCGCACTCGCCGCCGGTCTGTCCGGCAATCTTCCTTTGGAACCCTTAAATTTTTGTTCTATCTGCATCCAAAGGTGGAGAGAAGAAGATCAATCCCTTTATGCGCGTTACCACCTCGGCCGTACGGGAGCACGTCCACGCCGAGGATGCCATCATGGCCATGGACAAGCTCAGGCAAGAAAAGAACAATTTCCGTGGCTGAGCGACCTCCTCGTGCCTACAGTTAGCTTTCATTCTGCTGCAATAAGGAGCTCATTTGGAGGACTACAGTTAGCTTTCATTCTGCTGCAATAAGGAGCTCATCTGGAGGACAATGCATCAATTTCTTTTTTGTGTAGCAGCTGATTCCTCTCTTGATGGACATTGTTTATATTGCTCTCTTTTGTTCCTTTATGAGCGAATGACCCTTTATCTGCATGGACCAATAAATGAATGTATGAAACCAAAGAGATTCATGGAACAGCGCCCTCCTGTCAACCTATGGTTAGTTATACGTAGTCTGGTGAAGAAAGATGGCTCAAGGAAAAGAGGAAAAGTGTTTCTAATGAGGTGCACGTACCTGATTGAGTGCTATGCATTTCTTCGCACTCGGAACCAATTACTCTTTTGAGCAGAGAAACGAGAACACAAGCCATGATACCAACAATTTAGGTAAAAGACGTAGAGTCCGATGTTCAGCACATGTCTAATGGGTTCAGTGGCTGAGTGGCAAGGGCTTTTGGCAGACTGCTCAGGATGGATTCAGGCGATGCTGAACTCTTCTGTATGAATGTGTTACACATGTGCTGTGTGGGGAGTATTAGCCCAGCAACAGGTGGCCTTCCTGATCTCGGGGAAGTGTCTGCCTAGTGTGTAGGGGTATCACGTCAGAACATCAACATGCCAATTAATTTTTCTCGGATTTTTGATTTGAGATCGCTTAATGTTACATAATTTCCTTGGTCCTTGCGATCGTCTATCGATCCAAGATGACCGATGGAAGACAGCTTGAAGATGACATCGCGACATCATCAGGCTTCTTGGTGCTATCCATCCCATCTCGTAATTTCTTGATTTCCTCAGTAAGAAACAGAGCCTGAACGAACTCAGGATAAAACAGTGCATTCCATGACAAGACCCTCCTCCGAGCCGCTACGTTTATCGTCCACGCGCTTTCCGAATCAACTGTTTTTGATCATGAGCAGCGACCATCGAAAGAGTATTCACAAGGGATTGCACGTAATTCCAATCTTCAGGGTAAATGCTCATCTGCTACAGTGCAATGACAGGATCCTCTTCTTTTTTACAACTTCTGTCCTCATCGTTGACAAAAACTGATACTTTTTTTCTGATTCATTATTTTCGTTACGCCGCTCTCAACGTGGTTTGAATTCCTATTGACTCAATTTATACATGTCAATAAAATGAAAAACGTCGGTACTTTCATTGAAAGATGTAGCATTTTTAACTTCGTTACAAAATCCCATCTGAACCATATACAGGGTGGCGCGCGAAAATGTTTCACATTTCATTAAGCTGCATTTTCATTACTTATAAAATTAAATGACATGTCCCATGATAGTAAAAAAGTTTTTCGCGCGGAAAGAGTTGCTTCAAGTGTTCACCGTTCCATTGGATAATCTGTAACATACAGCAGCGTTTTCACCGACCTTGTTGAGTGTCTTCTGTGTTATGCCTCCGAACCCTGTAACCAAAGAACGTTGAGTTCCTTAAACGTGTGTGCATTTGTGGAGAACAACTTTTCTTCTCATGAAGAAAAGGTATTCTCCGAGTTGCTATGAGTTGCCCTGAAGAATCCGTCTTCTGGGAAACAATGTACATACCTCACAGAATATATGCTTACGAGCAGTGGCGTATTTTACAGGGGGGGGGGGGGCAGAGGGGGCAGCCGCCCCCCCTGGCGCCCTTGGGACAGGGCTTGGCGCCCCCTTGGAGGTAATGGTAATTTCCCACCTGATATCGCTAAGGTAGGGCATGGGGCCCCTGTGCTGTTGCCCTGCCGCCACTGACCCCTCAGCCAAAATACGCCACTGCTTACGAGGTATTGGCAAGTACAGCTTGAAGAAGCATAAATTTCAAGGAAATACCAGGAGGTATTTTGGTGATCGAGGTCAAAGATGAAGGTCTCCTTTGTTAAATGGTCCAATTCTGATGAATGTTGGAGCAATTCTTGTTTCGTAGTGCATTTATTTGACGTGGAATGACTCTCGTGGTTTTTACGAGTGCAACTCGTAAAAGACAGTAGACCTCATTTTCGATTTGAATCGGTTTAATTCCATTTAAATTTGCCTGTTTCTGGGACACTCTTTCACCTTTTCCATCCTTTTACTTTCTAATGCGTTAGTAACACAAATTGACCTCCAGATGGCTTCCCGCACTATCGTGAGAAAACGCTGTCAAACTGTCGACCTTATCTGTATAGAAACTCCGTTGAGGTTTTTCTATTCGTTACAGTAGAGTTGAATGTTCACGGCGATACGGAGCACTCGGCATCGCCCTGCGCTCTCGCGCTCCCTCAATCCTTTTTCGAGGTCAGTCTGGATCCGTCCGTTTCTTTGGTTGTCCATATCATTGAGGCCTGTCGGGTTTTTGAGTGTGTAATGTGTGTGTGTGTGTGTGTATTGTCATTTTTCTCTTTGCTTAACGATAACTATCAGAGAGGCGCATCGACTCAGAATCAATTTTGGCAGATGGACGCATCGATGACGAGGATCCCTCGTTTCTTGAAACGGAAACTATATCATCCCAAGAATGACTCTTAATTTTCTCTCGACGCATTCGCGGGATGTTAGACCACAGGAAAGGAATGAGCAAAAGATACGAAGTGCCTCGTACTCATTCCAAGCTGAATCAGCTCACCGTAAAACGTGATTTATGGTTCCTCTTAAAGGACTGGAGCTACTCTTCCCAACATCATTATCGTTGTTGTTTTCGAAATTAAAAGCGTCTAATGATGAAATGAGTCCTGACCTTCGTCTAAATATCTAATAATGGCTCGCCTGGAATTTCTGGAAATTGGGCTGATGAACCTAGCTGTGATGCTACAAAATATACACACATTATCACATTATGTGTATATTCTTTGTATTGCAGCTTTGGTCCAGCTAATCCTCCCACAGGAATTCCTCAAGACCAGAATTGCAATCTGATCATCGCAACAGGCTTCGATAATTGTCAATATCTTTTTGGAAGTCGTAATCAAGCTTCACCGATGGAAGGACGAAACCACTTTTGTCCATAAAAGCTGTCCTAGGATGCCAACCAAAAATTAAATCTTCCGGGAAATCTTCGCACAAAGGAGGAACCTTTTTCTGTGAATTCGTCAGTGTCAATTGCCGATGGTGCAAGATGTGCCCTCAACTCACCCTCAGTGTTTTTTCGTAGAGAGATTCCTTATTGTTTAGATTCATTATTCATGGCGTGTGCCATTACCACGTAAGCGTGGATACTGTGAGGCATGTACATTGTTTTTAATTTAATCTATAAATAATGCCTAAAATGTAACCCACATATTGAAACCGGAATGCATACTGAGATTAGGGGAATCTTCAGAAGAATTATTCTCACGGTTCTTTGTTGGCTGTCCATAGACGTTCATTATCTCGTACGTTAGAATATCGAAGAGGGTACGCTGAATGTGATAAAGGGACGTACTTTTGACTGTCGGACGCATGGATGTGAGAAAAGAGCGCAGAGTTTTGCGGATCGTAGGTCAAGTTTTGAAAAATGAGCATCAAGATATGAAATAGGGCTCTAGCAATTGGGAAAAATTGAAATAAAGGCTTTTCTGTGATTCCGTCAAAGTATTGTCAACAGCCGATGGGCAAGAGGTGCCCTCAACGCACCCTCAGTGTTTTTCAGGTTAGGGATTCCTTATTGTTTAGATTCCTTATTCTTGGCGTGTGCCAATACCTCGTAAGCTTAGATCCTCTAAGGTAAGTACATTGTTTCCTAGAAGACGGATTCTTCAGGGCAACTCATAACACTCTTGAATGATATTTTTCAGAGCTTCCACGATGAAGTTCGTCTCATTCCTCGGACTCCTTGCACTCATCAGTGGGCCAACATCAATATTCATCAGCTTAGCTCTTATTGGATGCATATTTTTTCGGTTTTATCCCAATGCAACATTTTGCATCGTGCTATATAGGGTACGGAGAAGCCCTGAAGTGTCACACGTGCTTCGAACCTTTCCACTGCGCGGCGGACATGAGCACGTGGAGACGCATTGACTCCGTCAATGAAGATCCCCCAAATGGCACGGAGTGGCTTTGTTTCACTACGTGGACCCAAAAGAGTAAGCTGTCTTGTCGCATAGACATTTTTGCTTTAAAAGAGAAGATTCATGAAAGTATACGTTATGGGCGACCATCCCAAGCCTGCAGTCAGGAATCTGAATTTACAGTTTACTTTCATCATGAAAATTTCAACTTTTATTTTTAATTGGAATGATCTTTAAAAACATACGCGAATGAAGATTTCGACTCCGCTTCTCACCGGGCTGATGAAGACTGGAAATTTGACGCACCATTCGTCAGGTGGTGTCTGACAAAGGACAGCCTTATGATCCGCTGAAAATACGAAATGGGATTCATCGCTTTTTTTCATCTTCTGAAGATCGAACATGAAGTTTATGACATTTTCATTGGAATTGTTAGCAATTAGAATAGAGACGTTTGGAAAAAATGCAAAAATTGTCAGTTACTCGTCTCGAGGCTAATGCTAAAAAATATACACCTCCCATCACGAATGCATGTACTTTAACACGTTGGCGACAATGCGTCCTGATGGTAGGATGCAGGTTCCAAAAAACGTCTTGTGCGCAGATATCGAGTATCTAGCGTTCCAGAAGATTATGATTTCATAATTACTGATAAAAATTCCAAAAAATTCAACTTTTAAAAAAACTCGGCAAAAAAAACTGTTTTCTGGGACCATGCATCCTGATGGCAGGACGAATTTTTTGATTAAAAAAATTGTCCTCGCTTGTCCCCGCCACGCGGCGGACAAGCAAAAACAGGCTGGTCGTCAACGTGTTAAAGAATGAATAGACATTTAAAAAATTCAATTCATGTGAATAATACAAACTACGTGTAATCATTTATACAAAGGAATGAAAAACTCGAGGCATTTAATAGCTTAGGAGGATCACTCATGTCGCATTGCATCATTTAATCATGAGAAAAATTAAGGAAACTTTTGAAGCTGTATTAAGCGCACTTCAAAAACAGCGACGCATGATTTAAAAAAAAATCTTGGTAGCTCTAGAACTATGAAGGAACAGGAAAAGTTGTTAACTTCCCAAGATTAATTTTAGCACGTATTTCTTGGATGTATGGGATAACATATGAACAGAAATTTAATGGAAATGCCAGGAGGTATTTTGCTGATTGCGGTCAAAGACGAGAGTCTCCTTTTTAAAGGGTCCAATTGTGATGAAAGTT